TATATCATTTTCTAAGTATTGTACGAATAAAACTACTTTAAGATTTATCATTCGTTTTTATGAACCGCTCGAAGTTATGAACTTTTTTATAAAACAACCTGGTTCATAAGATGAAGCGCCAAGTGTATATACCTACATACTGGAATAGTGATTTATTTTTCAAAATATATTTTACAAATATATTACAAGCAAACTCTTTACAAATATAACCTTCAATAAAATCTAACAATTAACAAAATTTATACTGAATACAATGAACTAATAGTACCAGGGTTAAATAATTATTCAGTGTTCACAATATCGGTGAGTAGAGTGTGTGTCAACTGATAGCGTTGTTTATGAGCGTAAATTGAGTCATAGGCTCATCATATGATCGCAACTTTCACTCAAATCATGTTTTGTTTTGTTTTATCAATACTTGCGTTGAATCTCCACTTTAATTGTGATTAAACTGATAGCGTTGTTTATGAGCGTAAATTGAGTCATAGGCTCATCATATGATCGCAACTTTCACTCAAATCATGTTTTGTTTTGTTTTATCAATACTTGCGTTGAATCTCCACTTTAATTGTGATTATAATTAACACTTCATTCATATAATCATTATTTTATAAATTAAATAAACAAATAAACAAATGCTTCCCATATTTGTGTGCAACACTACCACCGATAGCCATGTATTGAGTGCTAAATAATGTGTCAATTAATATGCAATTTATTATCATTACCAGTGATTACATTGAATACTGAAATATTAAATAAATAAATTTAAAAGTTTACAAAAATAAAAATTCATAAAAAGTGACCAGGATGGTGTGGGAAAATCTACATTACCTGCCACTATCTGTGTTTGTCTTACTTCCATCCACTTTCATCATTACGTAAGTTTCATGTTAATTCGCCAGGCTAGTTTATTAATACGCCTACTCGGATTACATTAAATTACTTTATTTGTGCCAGGGTACTGTCTAATTATCTAAACACTTATGAATGATTTTTAATTGATTAAATAAGCGATAATATACTGTAATTGATGACTAATTTTATTATTATTAGTGTTAATTGAAAAATTGTATTAAAAATTAATTGCAATTAATTTGTCCGACAGATACATAATAGCAATATGTTTGGGTCACGTGGAGGTGGAACTGCCCTATATATCGGACACCGGGACTCACGTCCCGGAGTCCAGTTTTTTTGCACAAATGTTGAACTTTTGCGCCTTTTTAGGTATGCCTTCCCATACCTACAAACATTTATACACTAAATCTAACACAAAAACTCCTATTTCCGGTCACATCCCTGTTCACCACCCGAATGGACAGTTGGTCTGACGATATATGTGCGCTACAAACAGATCGAGCAGTACTATAGAGACAATCTGAGCCCCGAGAGCACCAAGATCTTTTGCCGCAACCGCATAGCACTCATATGTGGCTTAACCTCAGCCATTGGGCTGTCAATGGTGGCCAACTTCCGGGAAATGGAGCTTTTCAAGATACATATGGTGGGGGCGACCATGGCGTTCGGGTTCGGCACTGTCTACTGTTGGCTGCAAACCATTATGTCATTCAAAATGCATCCACTCGTCAATACGCAACTCATGGCGGGGTTTAGACTGTTTTTGGCCATTTTGATGACCGGCACGTTCGCCACCAGTTGTATATGCGGGCCGTTAGCCATGAAGTACTTCCACGGCAAGGACCCCACCAATTGGCAACCAGATGACGGCGCCTTTGGGCTGCACCTGACGGCTACGGTATGCGAGTGGATCACAGCGATGTCACTCAACTTCTTTGTGCTCAGCTATGCCGAAGAACTCAAGGTTTGTCACCATTTGAGTGATAATTATGTGTTTATGTCAGATAGAGGTGCTTGTTGTCTGTAAGGACATACCGGTGCTCTTTACATATAGTTCTCTCTCTCTCTTTCTCTCTCTCTCTCTCGACGATGAGATGAGTTTTTAATAATTTGTTTTGTTTTTGACACCAATTTATTTGCAGAAAATATCGATGACTACACCGAAAGTGCTGTTTATAATAGAAGAGATGGACAACCGATCAAACGATGGGACGGGCGTTGACGGCGACGACGACACGGTAGCCATAATCCACGCCTCCCTGCCCTCAAACCTGCGCTCAGCCGAACTGGCCATCCATTCGAGTCCCGCCTCTATTATCCATTAATCCATCAAATCTAGGGTTTTGTGTGAATAAGAGCTGAAAAACGACACTTTTTTTAATTAAATTTAATTTAATGATAAACTTATTAATTATTTGTTAATTTTAATCATTTTTACCGTACGGTTCGCCACAAAGTTTTTTGGTGTATAAAAAACTGATCGATTTTTTTTGGTAGAAATATATTTGTATTTATTTTATAAATGAGATGTGAAATTGTCATATAAGTATTTAAAGTTTAAAACAAATTAATTACAATTATTACAAAAAAGACTAATAAACAGTTGATTTGCTAATTATATCACAAATTGTTTGATTTCTCCCGAAATGTACGAGTATTTGATGAATGAATTCATAAATGAATCGCTAGTTTGCCACTCATTTCAAATCCATGCCTCTGGGAGGGGCTGTGGGCTCCAGTTCCTCCTTATAGTAGCGCTTCCGTAGTGTCCGATACTTCTTGAGCCGATAGAGTGCCTCAATCTCTTTCACCACAAACTCTCCCCTTTTGATCATCGCCTCAATGGTCTCACCATTGGATTCGTTGCGGTTTTTGGCAAATGCTTTGTGACACCGATCTCTGAAGTACTGGTAACCCAATGGATACTCACGTCCCATGTATAACAGCTAAACGTATCCGGGTATAAATTAGTTAATAGTGCACACGAGTTGTAGATTAGAGATTAGATAGCAATGTTTTTGCCCTGGTACAGTATTTCATTGACAAAAAAACTTTTGCAATGAATTTCTACACTGTTTTCATAGTTACAGTAATAAACTTACGGTTTTATACAGATTTAGCACCCGGGACTTTTGGCTCATTATATGTCGGCAATTATGGCAACATTTAACACTTTAATCACAGTTTAAAATACAATTAAATTTAATGTAAACACGGCTTTGAATCGCTTATCAAATCATATGACATGCAAACTGTCACTCCATTCACAACACACCCCCTGTTTGTGTGGACACGTTGTTTATGAACGCGTTTGACATTTGAGTTGACTGTTAGACTCAATCACTGGTTTTAATTGTGAGCAAGTTCATTTAATTGTGTTTAAGTGCTATTCACATCATATATCATGGTATTTATTATTCAATACATTATTTTAGTTGTTAATCAATTGTTTGTTTCAATCTTAAGGCCAACTATAGCGAGGATCAGATTATGGGTGAGTCACTCGTATTGACACATTTCGTAGACATCGATGTCTTGAGCCAAACGAGTGGTCAATTAAATCGGTGTTTAAGTCTTGAGACAAAGTTTGATTCATACCATGACTACAGTCTATGATACACTCGCTATTATATACCGTATACTATACTATGTATGTCTGTAATAGTCTAGTAGACCGTGGATTCATTACATGCGGCCAATCACTGATAGTCTAATAGTAAACGTGTGGTCATTATAGCAGTTCCACACCATAGAGACCACACTACAGTATAAGACACATAAACTTCTTGAGTACACCATTGACTGTCAACGTGTACTGATTTGTATGAATCAAACAGTGGTTAGACTTGAACATGATTTATGATCTCATATCTAATGGTGTGATTTATTGGTGTCTAAACTGATCCAGAATTTCAAGAGGCGTTCTCACTGTTCGACAACAGAGGCGATGGAAAGATAAGTGTCTCTCAGTTGGGGGATGTGTTGCGAGCGTTGGGACAAAACCCCACCGAAACGGAGGTCAAGAAGTGCTCCAATCAATTGAAACCCGGTTTGTGTGACACTATCTGTCGACTCGAGTGTTGATCTCATACTTGATTTTATCGCACATTTGATGCCATCAGACGAACGAATCGGTTTCGAAGTGTTTTTACCCATTCTTCAGACCATATCGAAGAACAGGTCCACCGATACGGCCGAAGACTTCATCGAAGGTCTGCGCCATTTCGACAAAGACGGCTCCGGGTATATCAGTTCCGCTGAACTCAGACACCTGTTGACCACTTTGGGCGAGAAGTTGACCGACGATGAGGTCGAGCAGCTGTTGGCCGGACAGGAGGACTCTCAGGGGAACGTCCACTACGAGGACTTCGTGCGGCTTGTCATGAGTGGGTAGACATAGCGTCTCTCCCCCTCATGCCATTCCCACTCTTATCTCAATATATACCGACACGTATACCACACACACCACTGATGGGCATCTATTGATCACACTCTACACGACCACAACTTATTGGACACAATCTTCTCGGAGGGAATCGTTGCTATAATTTATTGATTTTATGTCGAATTTAATTGTTTTTTCGCTTTACTCTCGTATTTAAGACTTAAATTTTAAAATACCATTTAATTTTGGACTTCCAATAACTATATTAATTTGTTTTTTGTATTAATTGATAGACTTTTTGGATTAAATTTATTTCCTTAAAGTTTTTTACATCTAATTTATGATATACACCTGTCCACTAGTCTACTCGCACGGGTACCTCATTCAGTATTGACTACTCATTGGATTACATGAAAGCTTTTAACATTTGAATTTTTATATATTTAATGAGTTTAACGGCTAATATAGCATTCATTTAGAGACATGGCGTTCATTAGAAGCACCGGTAGTTTTTATGACCACTTTTTCTGTATTTTTCAAGTGATTGTCACTCAAAGGGTCCCCAAATATACGCCAATAAGCGGACGTATGCTATGAACAGGCGTTACAATTGACTCAATGTTTTGATTTGAGCGCAAAACTGATGATTAGTTTTGTGTTGTTTTGAAAGCAATCAGTAAATCATAACTCAATTCAATTGTCACTCATTTGGGACACTATTAGCCGCACAAAGAGGTCGCGAAGATGTCTAAGCGGATCAAATCTGGCGCTAAAGTGGATGACAATGAGGGCCACAGCGCGAGACAATCGATGGACCGATTCGGCGATGACTTGTGTGAACTGGTCTTAAGTTATCTGACAATTGGTGATAAAATCCGATTTGAGTGCCTCTCGAGACAGTGGCGCCGATTGGTGTTCAATAAGCAGCGGTTCCTGAGGGTGACAAACGTCAAGACCAGTGATACGATCAGCGGTCTGGTGGGCAACAACACGAAGAGTCGCTATCAGACCATCGATTTGGTGGCGTTTGAGATGATATTACGGAAACTCAAGTTCTTGGAGACCCTGCGCATCGAGGGTCGCATTACAGTGGACTCGCAGCTGATCCAACTGATCGCCGCCTGCTGTCCGCAACTCCAGAACCTTTGCATAACCGTCCGCTACATACACGACATCAACAATCACTGTCTGCAGGAGTTTGGCCTCAAGTGTGGCCACAGTTTGCGATCCATTAAATTCGATGGTCTGACAGACAAACAGATGAAACAGTTGTTGAGATTCACGCCAAACCTGCGGTCGATAACCATCGACAACATCCGCACAATACTATCGCCAACGGATGCGCGACCCGAAGACATGGAGAGTGCGTCCGGCAGCGCGTAAAACAGATGAAACAGTTGTTGAGATTCACGCCAAACCTGCGGTCGATAACCATCGACAACATCCGCACAATACTATCGCCAACGGATGCGCGACCCGAAGACATGGAGAGTGCGTCCGGCAGCGCGTCCCACGAGTTATCACCGGTTTTGCCGAAACTCCAAGAGCTCCAGTTCTGCAGATGCAATACCCGAGTGTTGGCCGAACTGCGGGATCAGTACCGCAAGACTCTGACAAAAATCAAAACCCATTTACTGACGATTGACTTGCAGTCGGACGACATGAATGAGGCGTTGAGTGGTTTCGCCCGTTTCGAGGCACTCCTATCACTGGACCTCTTCATAGACGTCTGCGACCAAAGCGATGTCCACTCCATCGACGCCGGCCTCCGACAGTTAGCCGCCGAGTCGCGGCGTCTGAAGCACCTGTACTTCACATTAGACGGCAATCTTCTGCAGTCGAATCTGTTCCAGACGTTCGGCCGCTTCCAGACGCTCACGTCGCTCGAGATTATCATTACGTGTGACCAGGAATTGGGTGACTATTCATACAATTACGGCACTATTGACGCCTTCAGACAGTTGAAGCAATTAAAGCATTTGAGTCTTCATTTGGAACAACTGA